ATCACAAGGACAACCACCATCACAGGGACAACCACCATCACAAGGACAACAACCATCACAGGGACAACCACCATCACAAGGACAACAGCCATCACAGGAACAACCACCATCACAAGGACAACAACCATCACAGGGACAACCACCATCACAAGGACAACAACCATCACAGGGACAACCACCATCACAAGGACAACAACCATCACAGGGACAACCACCATCACAGGGACAACCACCATCACAGGGACAACCACCATCACAAGGACAACAACCATCACAGGGACAACCACCATCACAGGGACAACCACCATCACAGGGACAACCACCATCATTAGGACAACCACCATCACAGTAATCATCATGTTGCTTACTACATGCAGTATTTCCACACTGCTTGTGGCAGACTGTGATGGAATGGCCCTCTGTGTACAGGTTAGTCTGGTAGAGGTCACATGATTGCTTATTCAGGTAGCTTGTCAAGTCTAGGTAGTAAGTATTTCTACTGAAAGTTGATAGTGTTTAATTGATGATATGTTAACTTTCTTGGGATACATAATTGTATTTATGATGACACTTTCACTCACTGTTTGTTTTCATACATGTACATGTCAGGTCCTTCAGGTCTCTCATCTCCAATGTGTTTTGTTTATTTCATTCATTCCCATGGAAACACGTAAATAAACTCCTGTTGTCAAATAAATATTTTCATTGTACAGCAGGAATTAAGGGTACCACTTAAAACAAACCAGATATTACAGTACAACAGGACATAACTTATCAGTACTGTAGATTTATTTCCACACACTATACTGAACAATAAGGAACAATTTATTAAAAATTGCATAACAATTATGCACATACTGTAACATATCAATATTATTTTATAATTCCTGACTGTTGTAATTCATAAATGTAACAATGTTGTGAGTACACTATTACTGACAATTAGTTCTGTAGTTTTTAGTGACCTAACTGATGTACCAAGTCAGTGTTGCGTAAATAAATAAATACATCTATGTTGATTGAGTTTATACAGTCAGGTTTGAATAAAGAGCCCTATTTTCTCAGTAGCTCAAAATAGTGGTAAGATTTATTATTGAGGGGTCAATGAAATCTCTTGTAATACAACACGCAGTATGTTTAAAACTCATAAAGCTGTCCAGCATGATAAGAGTTAAACTTGGAAGGACTGCCACGTGTCATAAAATGACAGCCATGGAGTACAGTAGGCTAGAAAGCTTTTGAAAGTTTTAGTGGCCAGTGATTAAAATACTTAAAGGCAATCAAGATTATCTCACAAACGACTTGATTGAGATTCTCCAGAACATTCTTTATTGGCTTATTCCCAGTGTGTGCATCCATAGCTTACTCCCAGTGTGAGCATCCATAGCTTATTCCCAGTGTGTGTACCCATAGCTTATTCCCAGTGTGAGCATCCATAGCTTACTCCCAGTGTGAGCATCCATAGCTTATTCCCAGTGTGAGCATCCATAGCTTATTCCCAGTGTGAGCATCCATAGCTTATTCCCAGTGTGAGCATCCATAGCTTATTCCCAGTGTGAGCTTCCATAGCTTATTCCCAGTGTGTGTACCCATAGCTTATTCCCAGTGAGAGCATCCATAGCTTACTCCCAGTGTGTGCATACATAGCTTACTCCCAGTGTGAGCATCCATAGCTTATTCCCAGTGTGAGCATCCATAGCTTATTCCCAGTGTGTGTACCCATAGCTTATTCCCAGTGTGAGCATCCATAGCTTATTCCCAGTGAGAGCATCCATAGCTTATTCCCAGTGTGAGCATCCATAGCTTATTCCCAGTGTGTGTACCCATAGCTTA